AATCCACAATGAACAACAGTCATCAGAGAACCAAACAACAGTAGGAAGGGATGTGCCAAAGTAGTGGTTCACTTCAAATCTAAAACCAATTGGACTGGTTCCACTCTGCACAACATCTGCCTCAGGTAGTGAACTTCCTTGAGGTGGGTTGCCAGAAGGACAACATTCACCCCATGCAACATCATCCTCCAGATAGGACAAATTGAACCAGATCTGAAACAGCCACCCAATGAAGGTAGTGGGAGATGAACAGATGAGGTGTTGTCCACATGCCCAACTGATGAATTTCCTCCCACAGATGGAGATGAGATGCCAGGGTGCCACATTGGATGCAATAACATCTGGAACAATTAGCAGGAAGAAAGAGATAGGGAGGAATATGCCAGTCAAATAAGCTAATGAACTCAACCTGTATGGGTAGACAGAAGAAGGTCACATAAGGAGGAAAGGTTCAGGGAATGAAAAGGTGGGATTGGGAATCACAGAAGGAGACTATACAGACAATATAACACAGATAGGACATAGAAACCAACCCAAATCAGACCAAAAATAAAGGTGGGAAATTGAGAGAAGGAAAATTGATGTGAATAAAGGATGTCCCTTATGAGCCACCAAACTTTTGATCAGGAAAGATCGATCTGGAGTATGTGAAATGCTGATGGCAAAGATAACAGACCAGCAATGCCTACAGGTTAAGAGAAGTAAAAAATAAGTCTTAAGGGATAGGTGAAACAGGGAATAGGAGAACAAAGGTTCAAACAGAGAGTGTGTGAGATAGTGAAGAACAATACTGACATTTAAATCCAGAAGAAGCACCTAATGGGGAGTTAGATGAATCTGGAAGGAACTCAATACAAGGGAGACAGTAGGAAATGAAAACATAATATGGTACCTGGAAAAACAGAAGGTGTTGAACAAGGCTCCTCAATAACCTGCAGTGGAAAAGACAAAAGCACAATGGTCAAACAGCCAGGTAAGAAAATCCATAAAGTCGGTTGTTAATTAAGCACAAAGCTACACAATGGACTATCTGTGCTCTGCCAACCACGCGTATCAAAACTCAGTTTCTAGTGTTCACATATCGCTGTGCCACTGGGGGGCAAATTCATAAACTGCAAGGGAGAAATGGCAAATGGACCAAGCTAGGAAAGAAATGACACACAGAGACAATCCGGATCTTCTCGTAAGGGACCAGATAAATGCCTGGTGTGAAGCTGGAGTGTGTGAATGATGGGATGAAGGACCGGTGACCAAGGTTGATGTAGGAGGGATGGAGTGAGAGAAAGAGGTAATGGGAGGGTAGTGTGGAGCTGAAGGAGAAGAGGAAACCAAGGTTGTGCTGGCCAATAAGGAGGAATTAGAAGGACCTGATACGGAGTGGAATGGATGACCAAAATCACCCTGGTAAGGAGCCGGATAAGAGGGAAGGCATCAAGGTATCAGTAAGTCCAGTCCTGACTGAGAGCATCCACTGCCAGGGCCTGTGAATGAGGAACTGAAAACCAAAAAGAAAATATAACTAGATGTTGAAGGAAGTGGCAAAAGCATCCAGATGAGGAATACCCCAGTGAATGCAAAGCTACAAGAAAACCTGAGAGTCGAGGGATCACTCTGTGGAGGAAGAAGATCTGCCACAAGGTTGAAAGCAACTGGAACATGACACGCTATGAGGTGTATCTGCAGTTTGTGGCCCCTTAAATAGTTCCAATATTCAACCACATAGGGAAGAAGAAGAATAGATAACCTCCTTGGCAATTGAAATAAGAACCAATGGTAAAATTGTCTTAATGAATCAAGATGAGTCTTTTCCATACAACAGGAAGAAAATGATCCAAAGCACATCATACCACAAGAAGCTCCAAGATGCTGATATGGTATGACATTTCTATCTGAGACAATTGTCTGAAAGCCTTCTGTTGATCACTCCCCCCTCCCCAACCCTGAAGAGAAGCATCAATAAACAGATGCAAATCTCAACAAGGAGAAGGAAGTGGTACCCCAGCCATAGAGTTTTCCCTGTTCAACAACCAATTTATAGAAGAGAATGCATATCTGCACGACCCAAAGGGATAAGAGCTTCCACAATAGATCAAGTCCTCAAAAGCAATAGAACCTCATGTACAGAAAGAGAGGAAGAAGAAAGGGTGTGGAGAACTGAAAGCTCCATCAAACACAGATTGGGCATGACATAGATAAATGTTGAAAAACATACCCAAATAGACAAGATAGTGGGTAGGAATCAGGAAAGACTTCTACATCTTGAAAATCCAACCAATATGAGCTGCTCTTGTTAATAGCAGAGGAGTGTATGTTGAGAATAGTTAGGAAGAAGCTAACAGAAGCCAGTCATCCATGTAGTGGAGGATGCACAACCTCCAAATATGCACAAGTCAAGCAAAAGCTTTGACCATTTGATAAAACACATACAGTGCTGAATCAAGCCTGAAAGGTAAAGCACTAAACTGAAATACAACCCCATTATGAATAAACCAACCATAAGGTTGGGATGGATGAGAAATGGAAATATGGAGGTAAGCACCTGAGACATCTACTTTGGTCATCCACAGATCTGGAAAAAAAACACCTAAGGGTAAGAAAAGGTTCCATGGTAAAGTGGGGAAGTGTGTGCGTTTTCTTATAGCAAAGCCACATTGGGCTATCTGCTGTGTTCATCGAGGGGAATCGTATTCCGGATTTTAGTGTTGTAAATCTGAAGACTTAACGCTGTCCCACTGAAGAAAAAGTGGGGAAGATTAAGAAATTGGTTAAGACTGGACACAGTGATCACAGGACACAAGTCCCAAGGTCTTCTTAGAGATAACAAAAGAGATGGAATAAAAACCTTGGAAAGGCTGGCTAACAGACTCGACAGCACCCTGTGACAATCATCTGAACAGCCTCAGATAGATGCTGACTGGTAGTGGGATCCTGAGGTAATGGGAAGAATGTTGGAACTGGGGAACAAAGGAGGAGTGGAGAGGAAACAAAGAGAAACAAACCCTGATCATCCACAAGCCATGAATAAACGCATGCCACAGGTGAACAAATTGAAGAAACTTGCTTCTACTGAGTCGAATGCCACCAGATAGTCACTGAAACTGTTGGAAGTAAAGAGTACAACTGCAAGCCAAACAATGGACCGAAGGACCCTTGGAATAAGGAACAGGCAAAGGCTGGGAGGGTGAAGGACAGGAAACAGGTATAGAGAAAGGTATGGGGGCAGGCTGAGACAAACAACAAACCAAGGAAGAAAGGGTTGAGTGTTGCCTTCCGGATTCCATACATGACTCAGGAATATCTCCAAAAAAAGAGGCCTATAGAGAAAAAGAGCCATCGACAGGTCACAAAGATATGTATAAATGGGAGATGCAAGGTAAAAACTAAGGCATTAAAATTGAGATTGGGATCAATGGACAGGATTCACAGGATCCACCCACAACAAAGGCAAAAATTACTCCAACAACTGGAAGTCAAGAAAGGGATCCAAGGCCTGATTAGTAAGTCAATGCATAATGATCTGAAGTCTGTGGTGGACAAAAAGGCATGCTGGCACCAGCCTTCAACTGAGAAATGAAATGCACGTCATGTACCCTACATTCGGGAAAAGGAGGGGAGACAAGATAATCATATAATGAGGCAGTGTGCAACTTATCAGGGACAGAATCAAATGAAAATAAGAATACAGAAAAACGTAAGAAACCTGAGAAGACATCCATAAAGTCTAAGTTAGGCCTATCAGATTCAAAAGGAGAGGTACAAGCATT